TTTTTTGGGTTTGGGGGGGGGGGGGGGCAATAATTATGATTCTTATAAAGTGCGTTACTTGAATGCATATTTTTCATTTTTCAGCCCCCCCCCTTCCCCAATAGCTCAAGATTACATTTTATAAAGGATTTATAACCAAAAAAAAAATAAAAAAAATAAATAAATAAAATAAAAACAAACAAACAACAACTTTGTTTTTAGAAGTTGTTTAATGTTTGTGTTGTTAACAAGGCGCCAATCCTTGACTTACTGAGGGACAGCACCATCTTCCCATCTTGACTCTAACAGCTCTTTCAGTCTTTTTCTCAGGACAGGGCCTCTTTCAGAGTAGATTTTAAAAGGAATTGCATCTTGTCCTGTGGCTTCATTTTAGGAGAGGTGCTGGATTGTCCTCCTGACATCAACTTCATTGGGACTATTGTCTAGCTCTCGATTGATCTCCACCCGTGGTAATTGGGTAATGGCATTATCCTTTGTAGCAGCTGGGCAGTTAAGGACTTTAAGAAAAAGTGTTTGGCCCATCTTTTTAAGATCTGACTCTAGTCTGTCAGTGGCTGAGTTCCATCTTTTTTAAGGATGCGCAAGCAGGCTGAGGACTGTAGTTCATAGATTTCTTTTATGGCATTGAAGAAACATTTGGTATATCAAGACGATCGGCATGGCCCCTGGATTTCATCAGCCTTCCTACTGAGCCATGAATCCTACATTTAACCGAGTTTCTTGTGCACTTTCTGTTTTATTTTGCTGAGAGCATCTTTCTTGACCTGTGCCGTAGGTTTGTTCTGATAGGATCTCAGCTCCTGATGTTTTTCGTCTAGTAGTGGCTGTATCTCAATATCATTTTCACCAAACCAATCCTTATTTCTGCAGATTGGTGGCCCGGGTAGTTCTAAAGCAGTGGAGTAGAGAGTATCTCTCAATTGAGACTACTTGGAATCAGTACTCTCATTTGCTTCCTACGGATTATCGCTTAGTCTGCTTTCGAGCTCAATGGGAAATTCTTCTGCCACGTTTGTACACTTAAGTTTTTGAAAATTAAACTTTGTTTTAAGTTGCTGGCCCCGAGAACCAGTGATTATTTTAGAAATTTCCCCCCCCTTGGGGGGGGGGGGACTTCAGAGTGCCAGTTAATTTATTATATTATTGGACATGCTTTTGCTCCGGGGGGGGGGGCACTTGGCTTTCCCCCGGGGTGGGGGGAGATATAGCTGAAAGAATCCCTGCCGAGAACTTCTCACGGGCATGGCATGAATGTTTAATTTAGACGTCATTAGTCGAGGCTCGGTCCAGTATTCAGCGCCACGCAAAGCTTTGGTTACTCTAACATCCTATACGTCATTGTTATGTCATGTATAAGCTATATATGAATAGTCCCAATGAAGATGAAGTCGGAACGGTAATCCAGCATCTCTCCTCAAATAAAACACCAGGATAAGATGCCATGCAATTCCTGTTGAAATCTAAAATTAAAGTATAAAGAAAAAAAAAGTGAACTATTTACTTACTTCACTTCAACCGTCATGCATGACCCTCGCATCGTGACACACCCCCCCCCCCCCCCCCTCCAAACATTGAGTTTGAACATTGTGAGTTTTTTTCTTATTAATTTTGTTACCCAGAGAAATTCAAGAGCAGACAAGGAGGATTTTTGTACCGTTACTCAGATTAGAAGCAACTGCTTCCTTTCCCCATGTGTAGACTCCCCTGCATACAAAGAATGCTTGTAGGATTATTTTCTTAATTACTATTTTAATTTCAATAAATTTGCGAAATTTGCCGTTCTTCTTTTTTTTCGAAGAAAGAGTACTACACTCAAACTGAAGCAGTGAATAATTCAACAGTAGACTCCCTTAAAGCAACCGGAAGTCTTCATTTGAAGAGAAAATGTCTGAAGATAACAGAACGCTTTGGGTTGGAGGCCTGGATGACGGAGTCACAGAAGAACTTCTTTATGAATTATTTCTACAGGTAACCACAACGTAAACATTTATGTAGAATTAAGTAATCTTGTATTTAAGTGCCATTAATTCAATACAAACAAAGCTGTGTAATTAATGAAAATATTCATAATTTTAGGCCTCACATAAATCAAAATCATAAGTCATAAGTCTCAGACTTAGTCTGATAAAATAATAATAATAATAATACTTTGGACTTAGTAAATTTTGGGTTAGCGGTATGGTCTTGGATTTTTGCCAAGAGTTGTCTCACACTAAGTGCAATGAACAAACTCAAATTTTCGGTTCATTTGGAGAGATAGTACCGTGGCCGCCATTTTGGTTGCAGTGATCAGCGAACTTATGGCCTTAATGTATCCCTAAACCGAACCTGAAACCTAATTCTATTCCTAAGCCTAACCTGAACCGTAAACTTATCCCTAATCTGGGTTTTGACCCTATCGGAAACAGGGTTTTGACCCTATTACTATTGCTATCGGAACCAGGGTTTTGACCCTATCAGAACCAGGGACAAAACATGCAAATCAATAAAGCAACATCAGTTTAAATGGCACTTCAAACTGGAACAACAGGATTTTTTCATAACCCGCGCTGAAGTTGTAGACTACCTATTTCACCATAATCCTAAACCCCTCCCCCTACTTTTGATACAAAAATTAGAAACCAAAAAAATATTCTAGGGAGGGGAACTGAGCTAGAGACGGAAATTGAACTGGGTGAATCTCCATGACTGTCAACTCCTACTGTCTTCTTGGATTGATTACATTCGTCAGTTCTTTCATACGTTGAAGCGTCGTACTATTCTCACTATCATTGAACTAACTCAACTCCTTTTGATAATAACTATAACTTTAATATCTATGTAAATATAGTACACATACACTTGAATATATCGCAGCTCGCTATCAGACCTAAATAACACATCCTATCACTTTAAAGTTCCACTCAAGACTGCCGTACGACTAAAACATACGTCACAATACTGCATAGACAATACGTCACGAATCAGCACAAAAATACGTCATAGAGACAATGGCGGGAAGAGCGTTCACTAACTATAATAGTCAAGCGCGGGAAAAGCGTTCAACAACTAATGAACATAATATTGATTCGCAACAATTACTAATGAATGCTCATACTCGACAATGACCATGGAACACTTTGCCGGCCTTACCACTAACCCTAAACTAAATCATCCATAATTGATAATAATGAAAAATTCATTTATTACAAGAATTACAATTAGCCGTTTTAACCTATTTTCAGTTGTGTGCATTCATTTATTTTTTTTTAAAAAGAAAAGTTTTAAATTAGAATAACTTATTTCATTATTCATAGGCCTAGGGATGGTAATCAGTAATCCCTTATTTTAGCGCAGTAAATACCATAATTAACTTTTTTTAAATAATCAAAAAATTAAAATTATTTTTATAATAAAATAAAGTCTTTTGTTCCAATATGTCAACCATTAAAAACATTGTACAAGATCAAATAAGTACATTTCATGAATCTTTTGTTGTTCACAGCACCATTGTGGTAATACAAGGAGAACACTTTAGTTTTCAAAGATACATTTTTTTGTGTAGCCCTATTGGGTGTCTCTAGGACTAGATTTAAATAAATGTAATTACTATATGTTTTGTCTAAGTCTCTCATGTTCTAGGCATTTTGGAAACTGTGGGGCCAATCATGCAGGGCTGTGTGAAGGTGCTACTAACCCTGGGCGTCAATATCTGGGGGTGCATTTTTTTATATGCATGGGGCTGTGTTTTAATGTTGTTCCATCAGGTAACTGTGGGGATGAGGGTTAATTTAAATTATTCAAACATATTTGTTTGTCAATGGCATTTACTTTATTGTGCTAAAATAGTAGATTACCCCTGGGGATTGAGGTTAGCCAAATACCATCTTTCCATAACAAAAGAAAAAATACACGAACGACAAATTGTTCTAGAACCAAAAATAAAAAGTTCCATTCTTCTTTTGTTACTAATGATTAATGCTCAGTGCAATTGAGTAAGATGTGTTTATCACAATAAATACAAGTAAATTTTGGGAATCCAGTACCATCCACTTTCCCTGTGTTGAGTACTACATTGTTTTGAGATGGCCGCCATGTTTGTTGCCATGTCTATGTTCATTGGGACTATATAGACAGTGTGTTTTAAGTACTTATTGAGATACACTAAAATAAGAAAAATTAAGAGAATTTTTAAATAAAAATTGGCATAACATTTTGTCCGTGGTGAATGTAGCAACTTTATTGTTTTGATACGTGGAGGGAAGAGTCAATAACCTGCATTCGCCCCCTTTCCTGACATAATTTAAACCAGTATTTTAATAACATAGCTAACATAGCAACTTCATTGTTTCTTTCTGCATATAAGGGAAGAAGTGTCAACAGCCTATGGTCACGTCCTTCCCTCAAGTATCTCTTATCGTAACCATGTGTGCTACAGTTACACACTGGTGAGAAAAGCATAAAAATAAATTTAAAAAAATTTTTTTTTTCAAACAACAAAATAATGAAAACCCAACTTACAGTTTCATGGCATGCACTTGGACACACTTAATTACAGGTTCTACTGAAAATAAAATCCAAAAGATGTCATTAAAGTTAAAATCCTTTAATGAAAATGATCAGACTTCTGTTACATCAGGCTCGGTTTCAAATACAATTAAACTCACTTTCTAATATTAATTTTAAAAAGTCTACATTCCTTGGGGTATTATGATTTTAAAAAATGAAAAGGTAACTCTAGTAACAATTCACAACAAAAAAGGGGAGTTCACTGATGCACAGAAACTCAGAGTGGTACCAGATTTCCTTAATTATCCTAAATATGAATTAGGCCTATGCCATATGGGACAGAGATTTGAGGCCATGTTGATCACTATTTATGTTAATGTTACCCCATTCTTTGTAGCCCCCATCATTGACGTCATCAGCAAAAACAGCAGGCATGTATAATAAAAATATTTAAAAAAGAGCTTAATATGTAAAAAAAACTGTCAAAACTGTGACCCGGTGGGACCAGTTGAGACCTAGAAAATATTGGGGTTTCAGGGGGCACAATTTGTTTTTTTTGACAATGCACACACAATCAATTTTACAAGTTCTGTTAGCGCCCTTACGCAGACAACACTCCATTGTCATCAGATTACAAAAGAAAAATAATGAAATTTTAATAAATGTCTATAATTGCTGTGCACAGTATGTAATAAAAAAACAGCAACTGAGACTATCTGAGGGAAGGGGCAATCGCAGATCATCGTCTGGTTTTTCTGTATATCTTCTGAGAGACACTATAAAGTTGTCTTACTCTAGTGTTCATTCAGAACCACATTCTATGTATCGACAGTAAATATCGCCATGTATGTAAAAGAAGGACAATTAAAAATTAAGCCAGAGTGAATAAGGATTGTTTTCCGGTTTACAAAATATTGATAACCTAAAGAGAAATATCATCTATTCACTCGACCTCTGCACCTTTCAGAGTAGACCATAATATTATAATATTGTTAGCTAAATACCCCTTTATTTCACTGAATGCACATTTATATCTATTTTAAAACAAGCATTAATTTGTTAACTCAACAAGTATTCAAGGAAATAATTTTAATAGTTTCAATTACTTTTTTAATAAGGTAACAGGCTGGCAATATGTAACAGCTTAGTGTCTCAACATTAAGTGGTGCAGCACAAACTGTATAGACAAATAAAGGGACACATGAACTCGCATTGAAACAAAATTCATAGCTCAAAAATACTGAAGCTATCCGATGTTGGTTTCGTATTTTAAATATGCTCCTGGTTAGTAGTCTAGTCTATGAAACTGTATAATTGTCTGCTGTTGAAATAATTATGTTTTTGCAGTAGCTGCTAAGGCTTCATTTCATTCAGCATGAATTAGGTTTAGGTCTTTGTGTGGAAGGAAGCATTGCTCTCTACCCATTATATAGTGTGCTGTCTTTGTGTGGAAGAAAGCATTGCTCTCTACCCATCATTTAGTGTGCTGTCTTTGTGTGGAAGGAAACATTGCTCTCTACCCATCATTTAGTGTGCTGTCTTTGTGTGGAAGGAAACATTGCTCTCTACCCATCATTTAGTGTGCTGTCTTTGTGTGGAAGGAAACATTGCTCTCTACCCATCATATAGTGTGCTGTCTTTGTGTGGAAGGAAACATTGCTCTCTACCCATCGTATAGTGTGCTGTCTTTGTGTGGAAGGAAGCATACCCATCATGTATTGTGCTAAGGGGGCTTCACCCTGTACCTAACACTGGCCATTTTAGACAAAAATAAGTGAAATCTATCTCCTAACCAAGGTCATACCCTAAATTTATTTACACACCTAGGCTTTGGGGGACACATTTAATTTTTTGGGGATACATTTAGTTTCCGGCGCCCATAGGAAATGTATGCATTCTCTCACCAATCTCCACCACATGTCATAAAATTCCAAAGCATACAAATGTTCATGTTATCTCCCATTTGCCGCTCGCAGAATCTTAGCATATTTGCGTCATTCATAAATGGGTAGATCATATTTTAGAAATAAAAATTGCTTGTTTTAATTCAGATTTGATCCATTTCGAGTTGTTTTTTACACTGGTCCATAGCAATTTCTAAAAATGGGCTCAGATGAGGAGTTTGATAGCAATTTAGATGTAACTAAGCATGATGCTTCAGTTATTTAAGATAGCTGTAGTTATACATCACCAGCACCCCGGGTAGATGGGACCTGTTAACCTATGATGGCAACTCGTCTATGAGAAGGCAACTCTGAAATCAAACCCAGAGATGGACTCCCGAAAGGCGGATAACATTGGTACATTGAAGCATTCCGACAACTCCTGCGACGTCTCTGGTGCCAAGCTCTTGATGTTTCCTTGGGTTATCCAGTGGCATGGAGAGAGGTGATTTGCTGTTGGGAAGCAGCTTATAATCCTTGAAGAATAATCCCAGGCCTTGTGGATTTCGACCTCCGAAGCCCACACCATCGTCACATTGTGACGGACGGATGCCAGCAAGTTTTACAGATTTCTGTATTTAAATTAATTTATTAAAATATGGCCAGTGTTGCCAAAGTTACCAAGTTCGGTTTCAAGATATAGAATAGAAGCCTCATGTTTTCACTGTGCTGCCGTAAAGATAGATTTGGTTGTTGTTGTTTTTTAAAACTCTATGCACTGTGTGGATATAAAGTGTTAATGTTAGTTTTCAGCTGGGTTAAAAATAAAATAATACATACCTGTGCAAAAAGAATGTATAGCCTATAATTTTCAATGATTTCAGCTCTGAGTAACGTATAGTTTTACAACAAAGAAGATCGTGCCAGCTTTTAAATTAACACGTTACATTAAGCCCTGCCGTAGTAATAAAGAGGAATTATGAGGGGACGTTGTTAGTAATATTAAATATATTTAATTATTTAATAAAAATTAAAAGAACACTACTACTGCAGTTATTGTTAAGAATTACACAAACAGATTATTAATCATGTTTTACTGTTCAAAGTAGTTACTGCCCTACTATGCTGTCCTAGTAGTACTATTAATGAATGAAAGCAGTGAAAACGAGCCCAGTTTCAAAATTTAGATGACCAAAGGGATTTAAGTTTCCTGTTGTTCAACGTTGAATTTATTCACCGCCTCCTTTGAACATGCATCTTGTGCAAAAATATTTGTCTAAATCCAGTGAAAAATCATACAAAAACAAGTACAGCCAGGCACCAGGCAAACGTATTAAAGTCGCACTAAGTGCAGGTTGGTTAACTTAAACTGAACATTTTTCAACAGTTTGGTTCTGTCCACTTTATTACAAGTTCCATCAAAAATAAATTCCATACAAGGTAAGTACAGTCAAATTCAATCAAATCTGGCCTAGATGAATTGTTATCTCATTTCTTCTATTTTTTTCCCAGACAGGTCCTATAGAACGTCTTATTCTGCTGCCGGCAGAGGAAGGTGAAGAAAAAAAACATGCATATGTTGTGTTCCAACATGGTGAATCTGTTCAGTATGCTTCACAGGTAATAGCTTTTAAATGTCACTTGCTTCCAAGCCATTTAATTCATACAGTCTTAAGCTCAAACAAGTTGTTCAGCTGTGTTTGGCTTTCTAATATATTTCTAAAAACTTTTCAAGTCAGAGGATTTTTCTTGATATTTCAGCACTATGGTCTAGTCATAAGTGTGGCCATCTGTGGCTACAAAAAAAGTTTGAGACCTGTCTTAGAGCTTTTCAAATTTGGCTTGATTTTTTAATTTGATCTTAACTTTTTGTTCTGGGATGTGTTGGTCTGATATTTTAACTTTTGGGTCAAGTTGATCAAGTTATTTTACCTAATCTTTATCAGGTGCTGGAAGGGTCATCACTTTTTTCCAGTCCATTAGTTCTGAAAGCAAGGTCACTCCCACAAGCCTATAAGAAGCCCGCATTTCCCAATGGACAGGGCGGCAGAGGGCGATTTGACAGCAGCTCATTACGAGGAGGAATGAACAAGTCCAGCACTTGGCATGGAGGAAATGATTTCGCACCCAGGGGCAGAGGGAATTTTAGAAACCGTGGCGGTGTTTCAAATTATCCTCAGAATACTGGCTACAATACAGGCTATAGTAACTACCCCACGTCTGGTAACCAGGTAGGTGTTTCAAATTATTCTCAGAATACTGAAAACAGAAGTGCACTGAAGTCAGCCAATTTTTATTGCTTTATTTAAGGCACTTTCACATTGTGCATTTGTTGAGGCCACAGTTCTCAGTGGTCAATGGTCACTGATGCAATTTTACCATGTAGGTGTTCACAACAAGCAGGCACACGTCACAACCCTGGCTTCTGATGTAGAACTGTTGTTTAGAAGTGTTCACACTAAGCAGGCACACTTCACAACCCTGGCTTCTGATGTAGAACTGTTGTTTATATTTATTTGTATTAAATTCATGTGCTAGCGTAATGGTCAGCGACCTGCTGCTGCATGAGGCTGTTTAAATGAAGAAATTCAGCCTTTTTCTCTTAAATTTTCACTATGATTTTACATCACATGCATGGAAAAACTTAAAATAAAACTCTTTAATTAATTCCATTATTTTAAACAAGATCATGTTCCTCTAATCTTGTCTTGCCCACTCCTGTAAAATCAAACTTCAATTTATTTCATAAATTTTAACTTCGAACCCCAAAATATGTCCATTTGTAGTAGCAGTAGGGCTATTGTATACGATTAATACTTAAATTTTGTCAATAAGCCAGTGACAACCAACGTATGCACAATGATAAAAATATGACAGGATTGAGTCTGTACATTACCAGCCGACAGTATACTGCGACACTCAACAAACCAATGAAAATGAAACTTATTCCCTGTTTTTCTAACAATCAGTTTCATGTCGCAGAAAGTTGAGAATCTATGTAACAAATCCGCAGTGTGAACATACCTTTAAAGACACAATGTGTTACATGCTTTTATTAAATATTTGTTGCTTGTTTTCTGAACTTATTTTTAATTGGTTACCATTAATGTTAGTAAACACATCACATCTTTATTTCTTGAACCATTTAGATGGCCAACTCTGCTTACTGGATGACGGGTCAACAAGGCACATCAGCTGATGCCACACAAGTCACTGCATACAGCACGTCAGGCACTTCTCTGGACGACAAGAAAACAAGGCTGATGCAGCAGCAAAACATGACTCTTGATGCCCACCGACACATACAGCAGGGTGTCATGAACATGGCCACCCAGATGTACGGCATGGCTCAGCCGGGTCAAACGGGAATGTGGAACAGCAACGGATACTCTGGCTCGAGTGGGAGCTGGAACATGGGAGGCGCCGGGGACTCGTATCAAGGCTACACAACGGATCAGTACGGCAACTGGTATCAGCAATAATGATTTAATGTCTTGTCTATATTAAAATAATTGAAACAATGTGAGCCTGTGGGTACTGTTTTGGATGTGATGATGTAGATGATTAGATTTGTTAAGTGACACACAAGGGCTTCTACATGGTCAAATGTTTTGGATGTGATTGTGTAGATGATGAGATTTATGACGTGGCATGCAAAAGGGGGGGGAGGTCTACTTGTTCGAACGCAATCTCAGTTTTGTGAAAATATTCAGTTGATTTTGTAATTTTTTTTTTTTTTTTTAAATCATGGTTTACATTTTCATGAAGTCTGACCTGCCAATGAGTCTTGGCCACCCATTTTGTATGGTTCCCTGGTAACATTTATCCCTCTCTTTTAAAAAAAAATAATTTTGTAATCAGTTATGATGTTGGTTCAGAGCTACTTAATGGCAGATCAGTTGACAAGCTTGTCATGTTATTAATCTGAAAGAGTTGTTATTTAAAAAATGGAAAGTTTGGTTGCAAAATGTCTTTTGTTGTGTAATTACAACTCCTTGTCAGGCAAGAGAGATAATTCCTGTTTCTTTTTCTCCCTTATAGAAAAGATGACAATGTCAAAACTGCTTCTACTTGAACGCATTCTTTTTTACCGGGATACACAAACGTGTGTCATCGTGGGTTTACACTAACTTTTGACAACATGATCTGTATGGTACATGTATGTTCCGTCAATTAAATCAATTTGTTCCAATTTTTTTTGTTTCATTTTCATTTTTCAGACATTTTGAAACTCATGACTGTTTAGTCTGACCATATACTCTAGCTAGGGCCTACAATGCTGATTGAAGTGGGAATAGTGGGGACTCTAAATCAAGTTGATAGGGATTTGGTAGCATCCATATCTCTCTCCTGAAATAGGTCCACAAAAATACAATGTTATCTGGCATTGATTTTCATTTAAAGAAATCAGTTGGTTTTTTTTATATTCCTTAGTTCTACTGAAAACATGGTTAATAACAGAAGGAAGTGTTAATCTTGATATCCCATCAATGAGTTTTATGCAGGTCATGATCCCCGACTAAATATCATGTCCTTGTTTAAAAATTAGTGCAAAGTGACTTGAGGGTATGGCATAAAGAAATACTAAATGAAGTGACTGGTATGGCATAAAGAAATATTAATTGTCTGGCTAAGTTTCTGTTATAAGTATTTCAATTGACAAGTTAACAGCTTGGTTGGAAAACTGTTGTCAAATCTTTCTTGAAAATTAATTTTTGAAACTGAAATTGTTTTTCCTTTTAGTTATTTTGTTCCCCCAGAGTGGATTCTTGTTTTACTTGCACTAGCGGCAGCCTTCTAACTTTGAGCAATGCTCATTTAGGCTCATTTAGAACTTGGACTTTTACAATTAAATGTTAACGTTTCATAGGTTTGGATTCTGCCCCCTGTCTCTAAAATTAGAACTTAACATTTGTTTTGGTCAGCCAATGTTCTGTTCATTGTTCACTCATCCATTAACCATTGCTACATCATGTTACCACCAGGTTTGACGCTGAAAGAGATTACAAATTTGAGGGTGAAAAAAGAAATCGCATCCCTCAATTTTATTCGGTTATATATTTTTTGACACATTGCAGTGGTGGTCTGCAGACATGAAACACTACGCCATTGCCATTAATATTAATTCATTTTTTCCCTCCTCAAAATTTATGTTAAATTTTTTTTCTCTCCAGATTTTGTAATTTTATCTTTACCGCTCATTTAAGTTTTAAAGCAAATGTTTAAAAAAATAAAATCGTTTGACTTGATGTCCTTAAACTTAATTATTTCCAAATAATTATTTGAGAAAAGTTGGTTGGATAGAAAGTAGTTACCCAGGTTGTCATTACACCATTTTCTGCTACTGGACCATCTAACTTGGTCTTTTGTGAGATTTATTTAATACCTGTAATGACATTTCTCTTTTTTAATAGCATTTTAAAAATCTTTTGTAAGGAATTTGGTATCTTTACCTATGATGACTTGATGGCATCATATCATGTGTATTGTCTTACATACTGTAGGGTATATCATGGATTAGACTTAACTAATGACAAGTACATTCAGTTTGAGAGAATCACTCAGACAATTGACAAATATATTCATTTTGAGCAACTTACTTGTATAATGACAAATACATGCAGTTTGAGCAACATGCTCAGAGTTCCTCAAAATGTTGTCAGAAATGTTGAGTGAATTGGTCAGATGAATGAAACGGCAAAGAAGGTGTTTCTGTATGGGCCTATTAGTCGTCTAAAGTATGGGCCTATTAGTCATCTAAAGTATGGGACTGTTAGTCATCTAAAGTATGGGACTATTAGTCGTCTAAAGTAACTGAAAATTTTGACAGCATGAAAAAATGACCACCAAAAAAATGTTTTAAAAGATATCTAAACTTTTATTATTGATAATTGATTATTTATAACTTGATTATTTCCCTCTAAAGAGTCTTGGAGTTGTCCAACATTGCTGAGAAGATCTCCCTTTAAGTTGACAAATGGTTTGTTCAATGAAAAATGGGCCCCTAAAAATTGGTGGTCATTCTTAATGTGTTGTCTGTTAAATGTACATTGAAAGATGGGCTCCTGAAAAACTGTGGGTCATTCTTATGGTGTAGCCTATCGTTCAATGTACATTGAATGATGGGCCTCTAACAATCTGTGGTCATTCTTATGGTGTAGCCTATTGTTCAGTGTACATTGAAAGATGGACCTCTAACAATCTGTGGTCATACTTACTGTGTTGACTTCTGTTGATTGCACTTGCAATAGAAACTTGAATTGATGACATGAAAAGTAACAAACAGTGGTGGGCTTCTTGTGACTTTTCAAAGCAGGTTTTTGGGCCATTTTTGGTTTACTTTATATTCAGACTGTACAGAGATTTTTATGACTTTATGTTCAGTCTGTCTCTACTGAGATCTTCTTTTCCAACTGTACATTATATTGATTTGAAGTGATTCTAAGTTAAATAATGTAATCTGAAGTTTTTAGTATTTAGACCTGGAAATGACAGGCATATATCTTAATCGGATAATGAAATAATGACAAGGGCAACAATCTATTTGGCTTGAGAAATGTGCACATTGGGCAGTAGCGAAGTGTGTCACAAAGGTTTCTCTCTGCACCCAGTAGTTGATTAAAGACAGGACATTGGTTACCTAGTGGTTGGGGTTCTTATGAAGTGGGGGTGGTAATGACTTTTTAAATTGAGTTGATGAGCTCCAGTGTCAACTGGCCCCTAAATGTTTTTGATTGATTTTGTTTCATTTGGACATTCACATGTGTTTATGACTTGTATAATAAAAAAATATCATTCTTATCGCCATGATTTCGTCCTAATCTTTTTATCAACGTACGTACCGGTAAACATTTGTTTTGTTTAATGTACAAGTATTCATCAAACACTGGCCAGATGCTGTGATGGTTCAAACACTGGCCAGATGCTGAGATGGGTCAAACACTGGCCAGATGCTGAGATGGGTCAAACACTGTCCAGATGCTGAGATGGGTCAAACACTGTCCAGATGCTGAGATGGGTCAAACACTGTCCAGATGCTGAGATGGGTCAAACACTGGCCAGATGCTGAGATGGGTCAAACACTGGCCAGATGCTGAGATGATCAATCACTGTCCAGATGCTGAGATTGGTCAAACACTGTCCAGATGCTGAGATGGGTCAAACACTGTCCAGATGCTGAGATGGGTCAAACACTTTCCAGATGCTAAGATGGGTCAAACACTGGCCAGATGCTGAGATGGGTCAAACACTGGCCAGATGCTGAGATGGGTCAAACACTGTCCAGATGCTGTGATGGGTCAAACACTGGCCAGATGCTGTGATGGATCAAACATTGGCCAGATGCTGAGATGGGTCAAACACTGGCCAGATGCTGAGATGGGTCAAACACTGTCCAGATGCTGTGATGGGTCAAACATTGGCCAGATGCTGAGATGGGTCAAACACTGTCCAGATGCTGTGATGGGTCAAACACTGGCCAGATGCTGTGATGCGTCAAAAACTGGCCAGATGCTATGATGGTTCAGCTTTTGCTCTTATACACAACGCTATCGGGGAAATGTCACTGATAATGCCCCGTGAGTGGAGTAGCTGGAGTTAAAGACGCTTGGGTGGTCAATGCCTTTGCCACCCTTAGCTCACAGGGAACACATCAAACATACGCCATATAAACATATGCAGTGGACTCAAAATGTGCCCCCCCCCCAAGTGATGCCTGGGGGTCGACTTCCCCCCTCACTTTCAACGCCATTGTCCCCCCCCCCACCTCCCTTAAACCAAGTCAATTTTACACATGTCACCTCCCTTAAACTAAGTCAATTTTACACATGTCACCTCCCTTAAACCATGTCAATTTTACACATGTCACCTCCCTTAAACCAAGTCAATTTTACACATGTCACCTCCCTTAAACCAAGTCAATTTTACACATGTCACCTCCCTTAAACTAAGTCAATTTTACACATGTCACCTCCCTTAATCCAAGTCAATTTTACACATGTCACCTCCCTTAAACCAAGTCAATTTTACACATGTCACCTCCCTTAAACTAAGTCAATTTTACACATGTCACCTCCCTTAAACCCAGTCAATTTTACACATGTCACCTCCCTTAAAGTAAGTCAATTTTACACATGTAACCTCCCTTAAACTAAGTCAATTTTACACATGTCACCTCCCTTATAATAAGTCAATTTTACACATGTCACCTCCCTTAAACCAAGTCAATTTTACACATGTCACCTCCCTTAAACTAAGTCAATTTTACGCATGTCACCTCTCGTAAACTAAGTCAATTTTACACATGTCACCTCCCTTAAACTAAGTCAAATTTACACATGTCACCTCTCCTAAACTAAGTCAATTTTACACATGTCACCTCCTGTCGCGAAGCGATTCTTCTGTATGGCCAAGTCTTTCACTGCACTCCGTTCAGCAGCACACCATACACAAACAGTCACCAATGCAACAAACAGCAACCGGTTTGTTGTAAACGAAAGTTTATTTATCACAACAGTCAATGTAGCACATCCGCCATCACTCTTCTCTAACCACAACGAAAACTAACGCGTCACTTCCCATTACACAATTACGTCACAACACTCTCACACAAACGATACGGCTGCACATAAAATCTCTAACGAACATCTTTTCCCTATCAAACATGACAACAACGCTCTACACATAACATCAGTGATTCTCATACCCTCGACATATCCCCCCTCTTCCGCTAGATTCTACTCCACGAGTAGAATCTTTCAAAATGAAAAGTCAGGGTATGGAATCACTGTTGGGTCATACTGACTCATACAGCAAGTAACAATCTCAAAGCAGGTTATTTACCACCTGTAACATCGGTTTCTACTTCTACCTTCTAATTAGATAGATTTTACACGCATAAACAACAACAAAAATCATGGGTTATTTATGTCATATCTAAATAATTACTGTTCATAATAAATCAACGAAGAAAATCCTTACAATAACATTATGATTTTAAGGCAACTAATCATCTTTGACATCTGTTTACAGAACCAACTCACTAATAATAAATAAACCTTTACAAGTGGCAAAAAATGGCCAAAAGACAAATGTCAATATCCGTCAATTCATGAGGACAGCCATAAATTGTCCACAACTAATCATCTTTGACATCTGTTTACAGAACCAACTCACTAATAATAAATAAACCTTTACAAGTGGCAAAAAATGGCCAAAAGACAAATGTCAATATCCGTCAATTCATGAGGACAGCCATAAATTGTCCAGTCTACTACTAAGCTTTTAAGGGCGGAATATTTCGCTTGTCCGACGCCTGGTAGAAAGTATGCAAACCTGCATTCCAATTTGATCCTCCCCAGCCAACCATTACTTGTCTCACCACACATGACACCAAGTCAACCCACAAAAGCAAGACGCATGTCACGCCCAACACCAATGCATGACCCATGGGCACACCACAGTGTCCACACAAACCAGAAATACAAGACTCGCAACCCTCACCTCCCGGCTCAAGGAAACCCCTCACCTCCTCAACACAATCAAAATCCTCATTCAACCCACAGTCCGAGCAATGTCCGCTCTCAACCAATGAGCCCTCCTGACTCTCGCGACACAAATCATCAGCCACAGCAAAGGTCCCGTCATCCAACCCCACACCAGGGAAAAAGTTC